CCTCTTAGTGTAGGCCATAGTCTGGTAATTCTCTAAATATCTCCACACCTCTAACACTTCATGGGCTTGGAGCATCATTATCAGAATGGACACAGTCCAGTATGCTGCGTGTAAAACTCTGAGGGAACCAATTGGCTGATTCAGATGATGTTCCAAAACCTAGCTGCCTTGCTGTCTGTACATAGGCTGCTACCTTCCATGGCAGCTTCACTGCGGTCATATTAGCAAAAAAGGCCAATTATTATAAAGGCCCAGTTGAATGTTAGCAAGTTGCTAAGCTAGCAATGCAACACTCTAAGCATAATAATATACAACAGACAAATATTGGATTCTATAAAAGTCCATTTTTATTCAGACTCACTTGTACTCTTCTTATCGATACTTTTTTGCATTGAATAAAATTTATTTACAGCCGGCATCTTGTTTCTTCTGCCATCTTTGATGAATGCTTTCACCGAGCCTGTCACAAAGCATTATGGGATTGCCTTATGTGTGAAGGATACATGAGGTGCAGCCTTAGAATTGGGCCAAAAGAAGGTTTCTACCATTTGGAACAGCCTTTAAATCATCAGAGTGCCTATGATACCTTAAAATGCTGTCTAGGTAGGTAGCTCAATAGGTTTTTGAAACAGACTTGATATGTATCTTTGCACTTTGGCCTGTCTTGATCCAGGTGTTTCCCCATTGGTGTATTGTGCTGCACTGTGAAACAAGCGCGCAATCACATTAAGGGCTTCATTAGCACTACTTTGTTTGATTAACTCGTTGGTTTAATTAAATCGTACTTCTGTGTAATTTGGTTCAGATGAGGAATGTGTCTAAACCTCAGAGAGTTTAACATCACTATCACTGACTTTTCAGATTTGTGTTTGTTGTGTATGTTTGTATTCGATTTATAATCATAGTGCATGTGTATTGTAGGTATGGTGACATCTGAGCATGCTGAGTATGTTGAACCAGCAGCTGAGAATGGATGGAGGGATCGACGGAGGGCTGCGCTGTTGGAGAGGAGAGCGGAGGTCATTCCTCAGTACGTGGAGCAGCTCGAAGAGTGTGTTCAGAGAGACATGATCCCAGTGAGCAGACTCACATTAGAACAGGTCAGTTAAATATAAGCCCATAAATCTCTGATGGCCAGAATTATCATTGCTGTGAAGTCATCGTAATCACGGCCTGAATTACATCCAGTCTACACTCTGTCATCAAATGGCAAGATAAATGCATTTTTTTTCCTTTTTAAATCAACAAAGAGGTGTACGCTAAAAAGTTAAAATGTTGCTTACAACAGGACGTTTGTAGTTTTGATCTAGTCATGTCACACCCTCAGTTGCTGTTGTGTAGGCGCATTCCTCTCTCTGATTTTCTTGTAGTTTAATGAAACTAGTTTGTGTTCTTGTTGCCCACTCTAGACAGGGTTTGTGCAGAACATGCTGTTCTTTCAGCAATCTTAGTCTTTATGCTTTTACTTGTTTTATTTTGTGGGTTTACCATTTATATTGATAAAGGGAGGGAATGGGACATGACACAGCAATCAAACTACTGTATCTGCATGAGCAGTGCAAATTAAGATGTTATGAACATTTGGACTGACTGCTAAGACCATAGTAGGGGAGAGCGGGGCACGATGTAACACTTTTTGACTTTCCCAGTTTGTGTAAATCCATATGGGGTTCAGATTATAATTTTTTTATCCACAACAATTTTACACTTGTCTAGTACAAATACGTCGCTTTGTTTCATAATTACAGTGTATGTATTTTTCTTTATTTACCCTAAAAAAATGTGAAATGTGAAAAAGAAAGTGAAATGTGACAACATGCCCCGTAGGTGGGGTGCATTGTAACATCTGTGGGGCACGTTGTAACATGACCATATGACAGCTTAAAATATTAGGTGCGTTCGACTTCATGCCGCGCCGTGCAAACCGATCGGCGGCTGACTTGAAGCAGTGCAAAGTACCGCGATATCGTTTCGAGAGCAGCCGGCTGACTCAGCTGGCGCAGCTTTTTCAGAGCGACTGCAGGAGCGCTGATGACGACACAGCTGTTTCACGATTGGCCAAATTCACCACATGGCAACAATGACGTGTGTTTCTAACATCTTCAAATCCAATACTTGATCTACTGAACAAAATATACAAAACAAACTAAAATATGTTGTCAATAAAATAAAATTATTAACTTTTTCAAATGAAATAATGGCGTTTTTTTAAGAATTAAAAATAATCTGATTTTGGAGATTGACAATGAACACATTGCAACCATGGTTGGGATGGCCCACATAAATGAGCAAAACTGCTTTACATTTCTTGAAATAATAACTTATGAACATTAAACATTGACTGTCAGTCTTTATTCACCTGTTCCTTGTGGTTTCTCATTGAAATTCATTAATAGTGTAAATTACATTGCTAATGTCATAGAATAACACATTGTAACACAATGTTACAACGTGCCCCATCTGCACAACTGGAATGTAAAACCAGTTGGTGTCTTCTGCTAGTTAGCGAAGCATTAAAAAAATCTAAACTGATAAATAACAGATTGGAGATTAAAATAATAGCAGATTTGCCTCATTTTAAATAAATACTAAAAACTGAGATGAAAAATTTACTTAATCCAGAAATTTACTTTTACTATGGTAAAATAAATGTTCAGCGATATCTTCAAAGATTTAGAATTTTGGCACACTTTTTTTCTCTATATAGTGTTGATATGGCAACTAGTAAATACCATATATTTTGTTATGCTAGCATGTGTGGAAATATTCAAACCACGTGTGTTACAGCTAACCCCGCGTTACTTTGTGCCCTGTGCTCCCCTAATGCCCAATTATTTGTGCAATGCAGAAAACATGGTCAGAATTGCAGAATCCAGTCATAAAAATGGAATGTACTGTATAATGCAGAATATCATGGGATTGGACAATTTTTTTGAAAAATAAATCAAAAATAGCTCTGTACTCTTAATCAAATTGCAATATGGACTAGTGTCTGTGAATAGTAAACCACAACAAGACATAAAAATATAGTTTACATATTTTTTGTGTCACTGTGTGAATGAATGGCACAGTTTCGTAGTATTACCCAAACTGAAGCACAAGTGATGATCATAGTGTTTTCAGTGTCTGTCATATGACGACATGAACACCTGGGGCCAGTTGCATAAACTTAGCCACCATGTTAAGACTGTGTCTTAAGAACTAGTTTGACCAACTATCAGTTTGCAAGGGGTAATCAGTCTTACTTTTCCAGTACAAATAAGACCAGTCTACCTTTCCATAACTGAATTAAAAAAGTTATGACCAGCTTTGAAGAAAAACAATTTGGTGACTAACTTTTTAAGACTAGTCTAAACAGTTTATGCAACCGGCCCCTGAACTTAATCTCCAGAGCTGCTCTGAGAGGTCATTTCACCAGCTTTTCACCATTTAATTTGAGAAAACTGTTGTTATATCATACACATTGAAACTTCAAAACAACCCTTCAAAATAAAGTTTGGTTTAACTTGCATACATTATGACAGAAATACATTATTATTGTACAACAGACAAAACTATACTGTCTGTAGAGGCAGCATCCTGACTAAAATAGAACCTTGTAACTGAACTGATTTGGATTTGGTTTCTAACAGTTTTACTTTACATTAGCATGTTGCTATATTTACAATCATCATTTTTTTTTTTCACTTCATCCACTATCTTTGCTGAATTTGTTTTTCACTGAGCTTTGTCTTTAAGGACAACAGACATGTGTCCATGCCTTAAAATGCTCTCTCTGTAGGCTCACACAAAGTGAAGTTTTTTGTGTAATTTTATTTTGCATTCAGTGTGTTACACAGCTTTTTGGTTATTGGAATATAACTCATGGGTGCTGTATATCTTTTTTTATTTTAGTAGAAGATTTCTTTGTATATGTCTATGTATATGGCCCAGATTTATTGTTTATGGTGAAAACCCCTTGTGAATGTATGTCATCGGTAATGTAATGGACTATAAGTTCATGTTATTTATGTCTTGTTTGTCAATTTTGCTTTGTATTTGCAACCAAAACAGAAAAATCTGGGATGTTTCAGGTCATATTCTAGATGCTTCACTTTCTATGCAATTCTATATTGTCGTGGCCTAATGGTTAGAGAGTCGGACTCGTAACCCAAAGGTTGTGAGTTCGAGTCTCAGGTCCGGCAGGGATTGTAGGTGTGGGGAGTGAATGTACAGCGCTCTCTCCCACCTTCAATACCACGACTGAGGTGCCCTTGAGCAAGGCACCGAACCCCCAACTGCTCCCCGGGCGCCTCAGCATAAATGGCTGCCCACTGCTCCGGGTGTGTGTTCACGGTGTGTGTGTGTTCACTGCTGTGTGTGTGCACTTAGGATGGGTTAAATGCAGAGCACTAATTCCTAGTATGGGTAACCATACTTGGCCACATGTCACGTCACTTTCACTTTCACTTTCACTATATACAGAGGAAATGTCAAAAAACACAAAACTACACTGAACAAGATCAGAATTAGCCAGCATATTTAAGCTGTAATCAGTCTTGGCAACTTGTTATGACTAAAATGCGAATGAAGAGTTGCACATTAAATAGAGAATCCGAAGTTGAAGTGAGAAATGAACGCATAAGGAGCGGATGGGATGTAATGGTTGTTTGAGTCATGGCGTGTGTTGAATAATCACTCTTGGTTTGTGTGCGACTGCAGAAGAGAGCTCTCCAACTGTTCGGAAAACACAACATTATCCCTACCACACTCCACAAGCATTTCACAATAATGTGTGTTTAAACAGCACAGGATGTACCGCTGTCAGTCAGCGAGTATAAAGCCTCTTAAACGTGCTGACTGAATTCTGCGGTGTGTGTCGGTAGGGTTTGCCTGCAGATTGTATTAACACATCTCTTTAGATGTTCTGAATTCAAGTTAGCCACATGTAGTGGCAGAATGCAGTCTGCTGGTCCTAAACAAGAACATGGATTTTCCTTTTTGGCAGGAAGAGCGTTCAGAGCGAGGGAAGACGGAGGAAAAGGTGTGGGCGAGGAAGCAGAGAGTAATGTCGCTCTTACGGGGAAATTCAAAGGTACTGATGTGTGTCCAGAAAAAGGAAAGATTACTGTAGGTATGTCAAATGAGATTTCCTGAGGTACAGGAGCTGCTGCTGAGACCTTCTGCTGTCTTTGCCTATCAATCACACTGTACTATCACTCAAACACACAGTCACAGGCTAATATGGACAATTCTATGGAGTTCTATAGAACTGTAACACATAAATGCATATACAATTGTATATATAATTATAATATAAACACACACACACACACATATATATCCATTCTTCACCACAAATGCTTATGCAATCATTCAAATTTTCTTCAGTCTTAGGTGTGTTTGCATTGTTTTTATGAAATAACCTATTATCATACTAATATTACTATTTCCAGATGACCAAAGCACACTGCATGAAGTACTGTATCCCACAATGCAATGGACTTGAGTTGACCTTCTACTTTAAGTGTGATGATTTTATTATAACTAAAATTGGCTACATTTGTTTCTTGACTTATATTTAACTACTGTTACTGTTTTGTAGTGTGTACTGTTTTGCACTCTTTTCAAAGAGTAGTGTTTAGTAAGCTAAAAGATATTCATTTCCGAACAGAAAATGTTCAATAATTTGTGCAGATGACAGAAAGCAAGACACACAATGAGTGTCATAACAACAGCAAAGCATATTATTTTTGCATGTCTTTGCAAGCAGTGCTAGGAAGTTAAATGTTTGGTTTTACTCTACATTGTCATTGTGTAGCATGCTCTGGTTTAATACTGATATCATTTTAAATTTTGTTTTCTTCATAATATTGGAGACATTTTTTTTAATGAAGTATGCTCTCTCAGGGACTTGTTTATTAAGATTTTACCAGAAAAGGTTATTGTATTTTAATTTAAAAAAATAAAAAAATAAATCTTGTAAAATCTTTGTTTTTTTCTTTTTTTACTTGGCTTTTATTTTGGGTTTATGTACCCCTTGCATTATTGCAACTCAGTTGTTGCCATGAAGATAGCCTTAGATGCTGATATGGCAATAAAAATAAATAACTAAACTAAACTCTTCATATTGGTTATATATGACATTTACTGTATATGTATAACATTTGATTTATTATTTGCTTCTGCAGATTAGGCACATAGATGAAGAAGAAGCCGTTCTGCAGGACAGACTCTATGCTGGGTTCCAGCGGTGCGTGAATTTCTCTACATCCAATCTGATGTGAAATAATCATTAATCTGTGTTTCCAAAGCCATTTACATTTTGCTGACATTTGTGAGGAGATGTAATATACTCCACATTGTATTGTCTCTACCAGTGCATTCTGGGTAAGTTGCCAAAGGCGAGGAAATCTGTCCGTGTCATTGGACGCAAAGTAGCATCAATTTCATCCTGTTCACTTCAGTCTGCAGCCCTTTCTCTCTCGTGCTCTCTGTTTCAGAGTGGCAGGCCTGCAGGCTCGGCTGTCTTTAAGTTTTTAATAATTGTGCAGCACCACACAGACTGATCTAATGAAATCAGGGCTGTTAGTTGGACACTGGTGCAGAGGTTTGTTAGATGACCCTCTCTATGTCCTCTCATATCAACACTGGATGGTTGTTACTCAGATGAGACGTCTGTATAGGATCAGGCCCACACCACCCACATTTACTGAAAGAATACTGTGACGTCTGTTTTTTAGCAGATTTCCAAAACTGTTTCTTTGGCTACGTTCACACTGTCGATTTTTGGGATTGACAACTGCATTTTCTTTACAGGTGTGAGTCTCGAAATGTCCCGTTCACACAGCAGCTTACAGTTGTGTTTAGAACACTGTCTGTATAAACGTGCAACGGGCGTCAAGCCCGTATTCCTTACCAGTAACCATAGCGACAGTGACCAAAGTAAAATCAAAGATGGCGACGTGCATAAAACTGAGTCTTATCACTTTCTGACACGGCAAGAGTCCAAACGAGCCGCAAGTTCATCCATCAAATCTCCATTAACCGACAGCAGCCTTTAAATTTGGGTGGAGAGCGGAGTATTTGAGCTGTCGGGAGAGGCTCCGGTGGAAATTTGCACATAATATACCTGTACATACAACTGTCTATTGTTATATACCTGTACATACAATTGTCGATTTGTATATTTTTTATTTCTTATTTTACTTGTTCTATTTTTTATTTATTTTTATTTTTTATTATCTGTGTTTTTTTGTTCTGTCACTGTCATTCTGTTACACTGTGGAAGCTTCTGTCACGAAAACAAATTCCTCGTATGTGTAAACATACCTGGCAATAAAGCTCATTCTGATTCTGATTCTGATTCTGATTCTGAAAACTGACGGGATCTAACAATTTCAGGTGACAGACAAGCAGCTAATTTCTCCGTCATTGTAAGTTACCGAAAACACACATGAAAACACATAACACACGGTAAACACGCGTTTGTGCGGCTTTCTCTCGCACTGTATGACATGACAGACAACTAGTTGTCCAGTCCTGTTCCGTTTCACACAGCGCGTGTGTTCCGAGAATGTGGTTGTGAGTCCTGAAAATTTACAGGTGTGAGTTCGGTTAGAGAATGCGGTCGTCACACCCGTAAATAACCGAACTGTGTGTGAACGTAACCGTATTAAGGACTCAAATACTGGACTGACAACCGTATTCTGCTGCTGTGTGAACGTGGCCTTTGTTCAAGATAGAAACTTTCAGTGGCAGTATTGCAGAATATCATTTTATCTGGTGTGGTGTTAATGTCTGATATTATTTTAAAGTTTTTTTTTTCTTTCAATTTAAGCTAAATGCTTACTCTTCTATTGACATCCTCTATTAGAAAGAGGCTTATTTCTAATAGAGGATATGTATTTATTTATTTAAAGATACTCATTTAGATAAGCTAATTAAATATGTATCCATGTATATCGTCAGGGCGGAGAATCGCTTGCTGAATTCTCTGCGTCAACGCCAGGCTGAGGTCGTCAACCAATATGGTGAAATTATTGAAGAGACCAAAAACTCAGAGCCACTGGGCATTGAATCTGACCTCCACTGGCAGGTACACTCTCTCTCTCTTTCTTTCTGTCTCTCTTTCTTACAGTGAACATCTCTCTGCCTTTATGCAAAAATCAGAAAACCCCAAATGTGGACTGTCATAATTCATATAATTTTAATAGATTACGTAAGTGAAGGTTCAAGGCAATACTAATTGTGGAGCAATTGCCAACTAGTAACAACTACTGTAGCAAATATTGCACTGCACTGTACTTGAGTTTATCAAGAACATTATTTTTCCTTTCAAAATGTATCACTTTTTCCTATAACATAGCATAAAGATTATAAATTAAATATATAGGCCTACTGATGTACACTATTACTAATGATACAAACCGCAAGAAACACTTGCCTTGTTTGAACCATGTGGTCGTAAAAGACTTTGATGTCACTCCCATGAAGTAAATAGGATTTAAGAAAGATCAAACCATTATTTTAAAGGCAGAAATGTCACAACATAAAAAGATTGAACTGCAAGTACAAATTCTGCATTTTAGTGAAGCCCTGGTATTTTCATTTCAAATTTAGGTAGAATTTGATTATGTTTGAACCCATTAAAATGTAATGATGATGAATAGGAACATGCAGATTGGCTGATATTATAAAGAAAGAATAAAAGGTAGAAATAAAATCAATGTTTTAAATGTTGTTTTGCATTTTAGACTAAATAGAGCTGAATCAAATATCGTGATTAGGTTAATGAAATCAGTCATGGGGGCACACATATTACACGTTTCATGAGAATAAGCAAGGAATTAAAGGGTATGAGAAGAGGAAGCCACACCTAAAGCTTCTGACTTGACCAAAACTAAAGGAAGATGACAGTAGCCAATGCAGCTTGTTCAGTTGCGTGTGAGATGTTGTTGCGAGGTTTTGCATTGTAATGACCTCTGTAAGAGGGCCTCAACAGTAGCGGCAGCAGCCTTGATTTGCAGACAGAGCATCAGCTTTGAGGGAGGCAGTAAACGCAGTGAGATTGAAGTATAATTCCTCAGCCTGGCATCCGTGCCCCCTCAGGTGTCACTGTTCCATTATCTCTCAAATTGCTGTGTTTCAGAGAGATAAAGATATTTTATGGCTTGCTGACTTGAAACAACCCGCACAGCCAGAAAAGCAATGGCCGACCTGCCACGCATAGTAAATTCATTGGTAAATGACAAAATCTTTGTTTATATGACATTTCCAAAATTACAGTGGCAGATGAATCTCAAATATAAAATGTCACATTTGGCATGCAAAACTATGAAAATATATTTCTGTACAAAATTCATGGAGGCATTTAATTTAGAACGTGTTTAATAACTAAGCCTGCCTGCATCGGTAATCCTGCCTTCAGGACTCAAAAAGATTGTCATATTTATTCACTAGCTCCCCCCCCCCCCCCCCCCC